GGTCAGAATCTTCTCTTGTGTCAGATGTTAAGCCAAAACAGGATAGTGATCCAACTTTAGTTGAGTTGAAGAAATCAGTTTCTGAAAAAGTTATTGAGGCTTTCTCCTAGGGGAGATGGTGTGTTTCATTATCAAGGTCGTTTATGTGTTTCAAATGTTGATACGTTGAGGGAACAAATATTATCAAAAGCTCACAATTCTTGGTATTCGATTCACTCGGGAGCCACTAAGATATATCGTGATATATGGGAAGTCTATTGGTGGAATGAGATGAAGACGGATATTACAGAATTTGTGGCTAAGTGTTCAATTTGCCAACAAGTGAAAGTTGAACATTAGAAACCAAACGGTATGACTCAGGATATTAGCATTCCTACCTGGATGTTTGAAGATTTGAATATGGATTTCATTACAGGGTTACCTCACAGTCATCGACATCATGAATCTATTTGGGTAATTTTAGACCAAATGACTAAGTATGCGCATTTCTTCATATGAAAACCTCTTATTAAGTCAAGGACTATGCTAGACTCCATATTCGGGAGATGGTTAAGAAGCACAGTGTACCTTTATCCATTATTTTATATAGAGGTATTTAGTTCACCTCTCAGTTTGGGAGATTATTTCAGAAAGGTCTTTGTACTCAAGTTAAGCTTAACACAACTTTTCACCCCACCGATGGTTAGGTTGAACAGAGGCTAAAGTCGATATGATGTCCAAGTACCCCATTTCTTTCCCTTTGGTTCAGTTTCAATGTGAGATATTAGTTCTTCCTATGTGGTGTTTGGATTAATGTATTTTAGTTATTCCCATGTTTCCGTATGCATGCATGTTCATGAAATCAGTCACTCCCTCAGTTTTAATGTATTTTACATTCATGCTAAGCTATTAGATTTATCCCTACTCTTTTCATGCTTAGTTACGTTGAATCTCATTCAAGCACAAATCTTTCCAAGAGGGAGATATTGTAACACTTAGAAAGTGCATAACTCAATTGGAAGTTGAAAAATTGTAGAAAACTAGTGTCATCTTTTGTTTTTTTGGGTTTCACAAGCCCCATGTATGTGTCATATAATAGTTTATGGCTCGTGGAAGCTAATCGTGGTTGACACTTAGAATTTCAGGATTTTGGTTCAGTGACTATGAATGGGATTTACGACTTATGGATAGGCTCGTAGAGTTTAGTTTAGTAACTTCAAAAATGTTAAGCCTCAGGCCTCAATGTATGAGCCAATAGTACAACTCATAAATGGAACTACAAGTCGTAGTTGGGTCTCATGGAGGCAACATTCAGAATGTGTAATTTCAATACCTGGATTGTACGAGAGGGACCTATGGGTCGTGCAATGTTCTACGAGTCATAGAAAGGTGTTCATGGTTTGCCTTAAGAAACTTGGTGATTTTCAGTAATTAGGTTATATAACTTGATAATATGGGTCGTATATGAAAATACGGGTCGTACATAGTGGTTGTGGTTTAAAGTCCTGAAACCTAGACATTTCCTTTGGACTCATTCTACGATTGGTATCTACAACTCGTGAAAAGGACTACAAGTCATAGATGGTGGCCCATGGTTCATTCTTTAGAAAGTTGGGTTGAATGGATTGGGATCTACGAGTTGACAGTATGGTCCGTAGAAAGATGTACAAACTGTATTCATAGAAGCTATTCGACAGTTATTTCTCAGGGGTATTTGGTTATTTTCCAACTATTTTAATTCCTATACTACATTTTTAGGCCTATTTTGAAGAGTATAATTGACTCCTAGCTAAGATCCCTAACCTCCCCATTCACTCTCATTCTCTCAAATCCCAATACCCTTTTGCAAGTCTTCTCTCCCAATGCAATATCAAGGATTTCAAAGCTTCAAGTCTCCTTCTCCAATTCTCACCTAGGGTTTCTAGCAAGGTATGTGAGAACTTTATCAATGGGCCCTTCTTCACATATTGAGTTCCAAAGAAACTTTAATTTTCTTAATTTATGATTCTTACCAAATTCTAGGGTTTCATGGTTTCTAAGGGTTCTATTGAATTTCAATTTATTCTTCATGATTGATATTATTATGCACGATTTGATCATAATTCAATGTTTTTCAATGATGTTTTCTTGAACACATGCTATGCAAGTATTCTTATGATCATGATTACGTTATTTCAATATGCATGCATTATGTTATGAAGATTTCCATGAATCAAAGATGCTTTTAGATTAAGAATCAAATAGTTTATGTGATTATCATGATTTAGATGTTTTCGAATAAATTGTATCTCAAGATTATGTTATGTATTATGATTTTAAAGAGTCAGTCTTATGATTATCAGATTTTCCACGAATGATTCAGTATTATTAAATTCTTACGGCCTCTATGATTCTTATAATGCATGTTTTCTGTTAGGAGTAGTACTTGGCACTAAGTTGGACTAGTGACGATTACTCATGTCCCAAAACTACGTTACCCATAGGTTTATGGAGCTAATTGCTTATTATATAGCAGAATGCTCATTATGTCCAGTGGTATCATGCATTTATACCCTGACAAGGTATATTGGGTCCTTTTCAATGGGGCAGTACATCAAACTCCATGTATGCTCACATGGTTATATGTCGTTTATTGGTCTCTCACACACATTTATGTTATGATTGACTTTCGAGAACATAACATCACCTTGTATTATGTTTTCAAAATCAAAGTATCAGTTTTCATGTTATGATTACTTGGTCATTACATTATCATGTTTTCATACTTATCATGTTATTATGTCATGTTTATGCATTTATCCAAATTCAGTATATTCTGAGTGCTAACTGCATACTTTTCTATCCATATTGTTTCATACTATAGGTTTTGATGCATCTCATCAGACGCGTGGTTAGTATAAGTTCCTATCAACCTAGCATTATTTCATTGAGTCCTTATAGTTTGGGGACATACCACTTATGAGTTCTTATTTTCATTTCAAACTTTACTTTCAGTTTTCGATGTTCGAGTGACCTAGGGCTTGTCCTAGCGACTCACTTTTGATAAAGGTTATTTCAGATATTAGTATTTCTATATATGTGTCTTTGTACTCAGATTTCCATATTATGTTGAGATTCATTTGAGACTCTATTCCATTTTTCATGTTATTTCAGTTATGTATATTATCTTAGTGTCATGCTATGACATGTGGTTAACTTGGGGTCTCTCGAGACTCTAGGCACCATGTCACGTCTAAGGTAGTATTAGATTGTTACAAAACTCCTTGCCCAATTTCTGTCTGGTAAGTTTGATAGTGAGTTGTTGCTCTTTATCCATCATAATCCTTTCTTTCATATTTATATATACAAAATCCCTATTTTTCCATTAATATTTGATATAACAGTTTCCAACCTCAACTTCTTTTTGTAAAAAATTATCTACACATTGTCTTGAAAAGGTTCCATTAGCCTGATAAAATAATAACAGAAAAGGGTTAAAATTGCATCTGAACTATGCGAAATAGAAGGTTAAGTTTGATGAAGAACGTGTAGTAATGATTGTTAGAGCTAATGAGACACTCTCATCTCTTGTTCATACACAATCCCTTTAACAAGAATGGGTTAGGGTTTGCCTCTTAATAATAGTGGGTGGATCTAGCAAGAATGAGTTAGGGTTTGAATTATAAATTGGATAAAAAATTTGTAGGTATCCTATTTGGCAAGCTTAGGTGGCGGAATTAGTGTCACATAGCTTGCCACATCACTGTTAGGGGTGTTTATGGTTCGGTTTGGAATGGTTATTAGTTAAAACCAAAACCAAACCAATTTAAATCAGTTTTTAAATTCCTAAAACCAAATCAAAAAAATAACCATCGGTTTGGTTCGGTTTTTTTGGGTTTTTTTGGTTCGAAAGTAATAAGTTTGTTGAGGACATACGCATCTCGATAGACACAAACACTTAGTACATGAATAATTCACAAATAAGCTATTACATGAACAACGTGATTCATCCAATGTACCAAGTTTCAGAAACTAAAAAAAACTCATTGTCAATAGCATAAAGTTGTTCAATATTTTGGAGATCTCAACATCTTATCAATAGACTTTTCAATAAAATTACACCTTAAAATATTGAGAAATTACTTCTACAAAAAGGGAAAAAGGTCTGAAAAATACTCTAACTTTGGCCGAAATTGCTGTTACGATACCAAACTTTATGTAGGACCTTTTACCCCCTGCACTATTTAATAATGTATTTTAAAGGTATATATGTGCCCACGTGGACATGTTAAATATTACAATTATGCTATATTTTTATGTCCACGTGGGCACATATATACCTTCAAAATACACTATTAATTAAATAGTGCATGGTGGTAAAGGGTCCTTTCCAAAGTTTGGTATCGTTATAGCAATTTCGGTCAAAGTTCGGATCTATTTCAGACTTTTTTCCAAAAAATAATAATCAATATTTCATAGTCAAAATTAATCAATTAACATCTTCTTTAGCTTGAGCTTTAAATTATTCAATGCTACGTTAGAAAATTTTATTAAAGAACATAGAAAGTGTGATCTTTAAAGGAAATATCACTTACGTGTACACTTTTTAAAAAATATTTACGATATTTGTCAACATTATTCTTTTAATCATATATAACAATTTGGCTAAATGGTAGTATTGCTAAAAGTTGCGAATGACAGCACTTTTTGCTAAGTTTAAAGGAACAAAATTGTTTAAGTAAGTATTGCTAAAAAGTTGACAAAAAATGGCAATAAATTAAAAGTATACTTAAAAGTGGTAATTATTAAATAAAAGACCTTCACTTATGTAATTTTTCCATCTTTAAAGTAATGAATATTGAGGGATTTAGACTTAAGATTTTATTAGTTGGGCTAAAATTTAAGTGTTGGGCTTCAGAAAATAGTAAAATTAAAGACTTAAATTAATTAAAATTTATCTAAATACTTATATTTTATTTATAAATAATTATAAAATTTATATATTTAACTTCTCGGTTCGGTTTGGTTATTTTTGCGGTTAATTTTTAGTAAAATAAAAACCAAATAATATCGGTTTTTCAAAATTTAAAACCGAACCTAACCAAATCCAACCAAATAATGGTTTTTTTAATCGGTTTGGTTCGGATTGCGGTTCGATTTGGTTCTATAACCATAACCATGAACAACCCTAATCACTGTTGTTAACGATGAAGGGTATTTGTGGTCCCTTGGGATAACATGAAAATATTTTTTATCCCAAAATGTAACGAAAGGTATAAGTGATCTATTTACATAGTTTAGGGGAAATTTTGACCATTTTCCGAAATAATAATGATATTTCTTCTACAATGTGATAAGTCTTGTGACAAACTTTTGGATATTTACTGACCTATATTCCGTATTAGTGCATTCATTTGGATTTGCTAGCCTTGGACAATGTAATCCTTTTTGGGCTATGATAGAGAATTTATGTTTGTTTTGAGGGTACATTTTGTGCAAGAAGCTTAAACAAACAAAATAATCAAAAGATATTGTCATTTTATTAAGTAAAATAGATGAAGGGTTATATATATTTATATGTTTTTCCATATTCCAAGTCATTTCTGGCCCTTTTCCGTTTTCTCTACAAACCAAACAACACCAATCCAACCATTCATCCTCCTCCTTCTTCACCAAGCAAATTCCATATTCAAGGCCAGCAAGAGAGTTGACGGCAAAAGAGAAGCAGAAACAAATTCAAAAACCTCTTCTTTTCCATGGGAATGTCTTGATTTAGAAGAAGATATTTATAGTAAATGGCAGCCATTTCCACATGCTTCTTCACAGTCACACCCACCAGGATTCAATCCATCCTATTCTCTCAAAAACCCTCCTCCCTTGTCCTAAAACCTTCACGAATACACTCTTTTAATTCTTGGAATTTGAGCAAAAATGGGGGTTTGAGGGATAGGAGGAGTTCAGTTCATTTAGTTAGGGCCAGTCTTGATGTTGAGGTTAAGACTGGAGGGATTGTGGAGAGTGATAAGCTGCCGTCTGATGTACGGAAGCGGGCTATGGACGCTATTGATGTATTGGGAAAGAGGGTTACAGTTGGGGATGTTGCTAGTAAAGCTGGTCTACAGTTGAGTGAAGCTCAGAAAGCTTTGCAAGCTCTGGCTGCTGATACAAATGGCTTCTTGGAGGTAAATATTCCATTTATTTTATGGGGAAAAAGTTTGACTTGTGAATGTTATTTGTTTTTGGCGTTGTAAAATCAAATGCTTGGTTTGTGAAAATTATTGGGATTTTATCAATTGAGTTTTTTCATGTAATTATATCATGTTTATGCAAAGTGCCTACAACTTTAATTGCTACCTTTTCCACTTTCGTTCCCTTTAAGTTTTTTATTTTTTCGATAAGGTAAAAATTTATAAAAGTATTAGCATCAAGAATATGCTGGTAGGAAAATAAGTGTATACCAAAAAAGTTCTCAAAGATTGTTGAGAACTATAATGTCTACCATGGCTTCTACATCAGTGATTATTCAAGAGGGGTGGGGTGTCTAGTAAGCCTGTAGTCAACTTTGATCCTGCAAAAGGTTCAAGACAACAGAATGGACATAAAAAGTGAAGTAAATGCAGAATGTAAAGTAGAAACGGATTTTATATTGGTTCGGATCACCAATGTGGTGCCTAGTCCAGTTCCCTTGGGTTACAAGGGTTTCTCTAGAGCTTTGTTGTGTAACTTGGGTACCGTGTAGTTGTTGAAGTACAATGCTAAAAAGTCCCTTGATCACTTCAGTTTCACCTTTGGCAACAACCTCTACCCATATAGCTACCAATTCTCTCCTTTCTATTGTACTCACTAGTCACATTCCTTTCTTGTGTAACTTTATGAGATTTCTTTCAATGTCTAGAACCTTGACAGATTCTGGAATCCTTGAATGCCTATGTATTGATGGATCTTTGCCTTGTAATTGGGGCAACTTCTGATCTGGTGACTTGGCATATCGTCCTTGACCCTTGACCTTGGGACTGTTTGATTGCACTGCAAATTTCCTTCCTTGTGATAGAGACTTCTTTCCTTTTTGATCTGCTAAGACGAATATTTTGTAATGGTTAGTTTTCATCATTGAATCTATTGGGCTAACAATCTCCCCATTTTTTACGATGACAATCAAAGGGGTACTTATTGTTTATTCATTTTACTTCCCTGAGTATTTAGGATGATTTCTCTCCCTGAATATATGTCTGTAGATTCATGTTTAGATCCCCCTCATTCTTTGCCTCTTGTGTGATATTAAGTGACTTGAGTCTTCTTCCCAATAGGTAACAACCCTGCATGTGATACTAGATGAAATGTACGGCACATAGAGACACAACAAGCTTGTGTCTAAGACACACTTAAGCACACAAAAGCAATTTCATTCAAGCAGCTAAATATTCATAGGAAATTAATAATACCACTTAGAGATAGAGATACACATATGATATTAGATGAGCAATTTAAAAGCTACATGCATATTCTCCCCCTTCAGAATAAAAAAGGATTAGCAGTCAGAGGAGGAAGAGGAGTTAAGGAACTGGTGGGTGCAAGAGAGGCCACCATAGAGTACTGTTAAGGTTATACAACCCAAAACAGAAACCCACAGGAGGGGTAAAAGAAACAGTTTAGAAGTCTTAATTTCCACCAAGGAAATACTTAAGGGTGTTGATCACCCCAGAGAGAAAGAATAATAGAACATTTCAATGTTCTTGGAGAGTGTGGAGTACGAATTCTGGACAGCAACAACTAGCTTCGTGTTTGAAGTCTCAGTCACACGAGCAGCTGATTCAACTTTCCTAGGATTTCATTCACAGACTTGACTCCTTCATGCTGTAGGCTGTCAACAGCTTGCTGCAGCTTACCCACATCAGTGATGGTACCTTTAGAGAGACGTACATTTCACTGGCTCTTTAACCTTCTGCATGCCATCTTCCACTTAGCCAGGGTATCCTTTGATCTCTGCCACCTTCTAATCCATCAAGAAGCAAGAACATCCGCTATTTTGTCTTCAACAGTTAGGGCTGCCTTGGTCTTTGAAAGAGACTTCTTAGACCACTTACCATAAAAAATCAGGTAGCCCATGTAGAATTCTCACATGAAGAATAAGAGAAAATCAAGGATTGTATTGATGATTAAAATTGTTGAGTACATACTCCTTATATAGGGAGTAAATTGTAGAATCCTAAGTTAGCTATAGTTAGAGTCCTACTACAATAACTATTACTACTATAATAATACTGCAATTATAAATAACCTAATCCTAGTCGTAATCTAATCCTAGTCGACTACAAGAAGTAGTACCTAGTCGATATAAGTAGCCTAGTCCTAGTGTGACTCTAACTTCATTGTACACATTGATTGAATCAACATGTACCATATCTTCAGTTTCCTTTATCTTCAACAACCCATATTGGCAAAACACTTTGTTTTCACAAAGTTGAAATAGTAAAGATAATTTATGGGCGTTGAAGAAAACACTTATAGGGCAGTGGGAGTCCTCAAGTTGTTCAAGATTTATGATCCTTCCGGTGGCAATAGGCCTGGTCTCGAAGGCAGAGTACCTTTTCTTTTCTGTGATCCCCCAAAAGAGTTGCATGTCTTCAAGACATCACCTGGTTTCTTTGACTTGAGCCTTTTGCTTACTTGACATTGAGATATAGACCGTTTCTTTGTGTTGGTCTTGGATGATCCGACAACCTTTACATTTGATGAATCTGAGAGCGTTGAAGACGCTTGCGCGTATGTATGAGCGAAATGGAAGGAAGTTTGTCTTTTGCCATGGGAGAGAACTTTAGAGAGAAGAAGATTTGAAAAGGAAGAGGTGAGTAAGGAGGTGAAGAAGGGGAGGGGTTATAAGGTGGTGAGAGGAGAAAGTGAAGGGTTGTGAGGAGACATGAAAGGATGGATACTATAAAGGTGTCTGGGAAATAAGGAGTAATTAAAGGCACATGTGTGGAAAATAAATATATATAAACCAGGAGCAATAAACTTCTAAACTGATCATTGATGTCAGAAATTAAAACATATAAGGAAAGAGAATAAATTTAACACTTAAAAACAATTATTAAAACAAGTGTGAAGGAATATATGAGAAGAATATTATTGAATTGTGTATCTACATTATTACATTGAGACCTTATTATACGCACAACATTAGACTTCTTTTCCTACTAGGACACTACAATACATCCTTTTCTCAGTAGGATTCTATATACTATCTCTATTCCTATTCTAAGTAGGATTGTATATATTATTCTTGTTCTTATTCCTATTCCTATTCCTATTCTAACACTCCCCCTTAAGCTAGTGCATACAAGTCATATGCACCTAGCTTGTTACAAATGTAATTAATACGATAAACGATGAGGGGCTTGGTGAGTTGATCTTTCAACTTCACAGAATTGACAGTCAATCTCAATGTGCTTAGTCTTCTCATAAAATATTGTATTTGATGCAGAATGTTGACAAAACATAGAGTGATCAGCTCCACTACAAGTAATGCCAAATTTTTGAATTATTGAACTTCCTAAACCAAGCTTGAGAAGATTGTTTCACACCATAGAGTGACCTGCACAATTGACATACAAGGCTACTTGCCTCCCCATGAGATATACTTCTTCCTCGAGATCACTATGGAGAAAAACATTCTTAATGTCCTACTAATTAAAAGGCCAATGGAGAACGACAACCATATCACTATAATCCAACCCAAATATTTGAGTATACCCTTTTTTTGGCAAAAGTAAATTTGAAACCGAAAGAGAACACTGCAGGAAAACTAAGATCTTTCAGAAACAATGCAATTGGTTGCTGGAAAGTACTCGAAATCTGGTATAAGATATATGGATCGTCTTGAAATCACGAGATGAGCAGATCTTAAGCTGGGAAGTCATCGTAACTGGCCGAAACATACTCATGCGTCGGATTTTTGGATTTGATGGCTAAAATTGGTCACAATCTAAGAAATAAAATTATATGAGTAGGTTAGGAATGATGGCACAACCCTACTAAGAAAAATAATTAATATAGCTGAACTATAAATTAGGATGGAGGGAGTAAGGCTGGCAATTGGACAGGACCGGATCAACAGAACCGGTTTTACCGGAACCGGTCCTCGTTACCGGAACCGGGTCTTACCGGAACCGGTTTTACCGGAAATTTCCAAATGTTCCGTCCGGTCCCTTAGTTACCGGATAGGAACCGGTTTGGATCGGACCAGAACCGGTTCTTACCGGATCATTGTGTACCGGTAATTTTTTATTTTTTTATTAACTTTAATTATTATATAATATTATATTATTAATTAATAAAATTATAATTTATTAAAAAAAACTTCAATTTAAAACTTTAAAGTTTCAATTGAATTTTAAGTTTAAAACTTTAAACTTTAAAGTTTAAAATTGACTTTAAAGTTTAAATTTTAAAGTTTATATTGAATTTAAATTTTAAACCGTAAAATTCAATTTTATATTAAAGTTTAAACTAATATTAAAATAGTTGAAAATTAAATTTCTAAAATGACTTGGATTAAATATAAGAGACTATTTTTTTTATCAAAAAAAATAATATAAGAGACTATTTTTTAAAAAAATCAAGGCGAATAGCCGTATATTTATTCAAATAAATAAATTGTACAATACAAATATTAGAAAGAGACAAAGAGTACATAATCTAGGTATTGAATATTAATTATTGTACTAACAATTGAAACTTTTTTTAAAATCTTTTCGTAACTTTTGTATCATTTCAAAAGAAACATTTTTTGGAACTTGTATTTATCGTTCTTCTTCCATTGCTTCCATGTTCATCATCACTATTATCACCAAATAATTTCATCTATTTCGTCTTCTATTTGGCTATTTAATTGTGGCAGTCCGGTATTTCTTCTTTCGGCATTGATCCAATCTCGAAACAACACCGATATTTCCAAACTATCCTTTGCTAATGAATATCGATGATCTCCAATCATAAATCTCGCCGCACTAAAGGCTTGCTCCAAAGCGACCGATGATGCTTGAATCGCTAGCACATCTCGAACAATCCTAGCAAGGGTCGGAAATTGATTTTCACGATTCTTCCACCATACTAATATTGGAGCTTGAAGTTGTCCTTCTTCATGCCTAATCTTTTCCCGTGCCTGATTGAAATATAAATCAAAATCATTATTAGTAGATGATTCAAGCTCAAGATAATCATCCATCCAATCATCCGTATCATCGCTTCTAGGTTTACAAGATGGAGGTTCAACTATTGGAATATTTTTTTCCATAGATTTATATGTATTATATAACTCTCTAGCTTTTATATATATGCTACTTTTACAATCTTCAACACTAGGAGTTTCATCATCTCTAATTTCTAAATTTGCATAAATCTTTTCAACCATTCTTTCAACACCTTTTAATTTGTAATTTGGGTTGAAAGTAGTAGCAGTCAAATAGATTTGAGGAATAGGGAAAAAATATTTTTTGAATTTTTCAATCATAAAAGCAAGGGAATTTTCAAATCGATCTTTTCCTTTATATTTTGCAAATTCAGATGAAATAGCACAAATATTTACTAAAACAGAAGAAATAGTTGGATAATATTGACCAGAAGCAGCATTTGTTGCTTTATAAAAAACACTTAAAAATTCAATAAGTTCTTTTGTATTTTCCCAATCTTCATAGCCAATTCTCAAATTCGGGTCCGCATTATGAGCATTAAAAACTAATTGTACCGGCTCTTGATAAATATAAGCAACTTGAAGCATTTCAAATAAAGAATTCCATCTAGTGCATACTTCTTTTGGAACTTTTCTATATTCAAGTCCACATTCTTTACAACGATTTTTAAATTCTGTAATTCTAGCTTTTATTTTAGCTTTAAAAATCCAATTACAAGCAAGTCTAATTTTTTCACAAGAAATTCCAAATTGAGAAACACCATCCTTTACTATCAAATTATACACATGTGCGGCACACTTAATATGAAAAGAATCATTATCAATTGGACAAAGTCTACATTTTAAATAATCAATTGCTTTCAAATTATTAGAAGCATTATCTAAAGTGACACTCATTATTTTATCACATATTCCATAAAATTGTAAAACAAGGCCTATTTTTGTTGCTATATAAGCACCGGTTTTAGTTTCTTCAACATATTTATATCCTAATATTCGTTTTTGCATGTTCCATTCATGGTCAATCCAATGGACAGTAATTGTAAAATAATCATTACCATTAGGACTACGTCCCATATCAGAAGTAATAGATAATCTACCATCATAATAAGCAAATAAACAACGAAGAAAATGACAATATTCTTTTTGATATTTAAAAAGATCACTTTTAATTGTACTTCTTGGAATACCTTCATAATCTGGGTTATACAATTCCCGAATATACTGAATAAAACCAGGATGTGAAGGAAATGAAAAAGGCAAACCACAAACAGCAACCATTTTAGCTAATTCTCTACGATCTTTTTCTTTACTATATGTGCGGTGTGTGCTTCGGCTAGCCGGGATAGTCATATTTAATTCACTTTGAACCATATTAGAACCTCCAACTCCCATAGAATTTTCAGGTATGGGTATTCCATTTCTATTAGCCCTTTCTATATCATCTAGGCGAGCAAATTCTTTATTACACTTTCTCAAATGTGTTCTTAGTCGTCCCGTTCCCCCTTGTGTACCCGTAGTTACATGTTTCATGATCAATTTACATTTCGTGCAAGTAACAGTAGTTTTTTCCTCATTTTGTACCAAAAATTTCCATACTAAAGATCTTTTAACACGTACAACGGTCTTTGAAAAAGTAGGTAAAGAAGGGACTTCATCTTGTTCCGGTAATTCGGTAGCCGGACTAGTAGGGGTAGGGGTCTCATCATCTTCCTCATTTATTTCTACTTCCTCATCTAATTCTTCCTCAAAATTAGTAAAACATCTATTTAAAGTTTCATGATCTACTTCATTTTCGGAATTAAATTCAATAGGTCGTGAGTCTCGTGTAAAAGAAGTTTCATCAACATGAGTATAATCATTAGTATTAATTCTAAATCTAGGAGGTGGCAAATTTTTAGAATTAGAACTACTTCCTCCTCCCCTATTATTTTTTCTTTCCGACATTGGTCTTTTACCACTATATTTTTCAAAATTCATGTTCAAGTTTAAAATAATTAATATTATGAAAAACAAGCAAAGATAATATAACAAAAAAATAAAATAACTTAATTAAAAAACAAATAAAAAAT